CTGGGTCAGCAGCTGGGGGTGGGTTTGGGGCTGGGAGTGTGACCGTGGCCAGGGGACAAGGCTGGGGGTGGGAGCAGAGCTGCAGCTGGGCTTTGATGGGGACCAGCAGCTGGCATGTGGACAGTTGCAGCTCCGCTCCTGGCCTCGCCACCAGGCTGAGAATTGAGCCATGGCCAGCGGCAGAGGCTTGGGGCTGGCACAGGGCCAGGAGTAGAGCAGCCACCAGGCCTTGGTGGGGGCCGGAAGCTGGGACCTCAGCTGGGTGTGGAGCCCTGCGAGGCTAGGGACGGGGCCCGGTGCAGGGCCGGGAGCCGGGGACATGGCTGGGGGCGGGACCGGAGAAGAGCCGGGGGTGGGAATAGGCTGGGTGGTGCTCCCTACCTACCCACCCTGTAGTGGTGGGCCCGGGCCCTGCTATGCCCCGCCGGACGTTCCTCCATGCCCCCCCTGGGGAGCACGCCCCACAGTTTGGGGATCTCTGCTCTAACTGTAAACGTGATTATTAGAAACTGTAGGTTATAAATGTACAAACCAGTTGGTCAGAAGGCAAATATGAGAAAAGTGTTTGTACAAGAACAACGTGTGACTCAAACATAGTGGGGGCGTCCCCTCCTTGAATTGGTACCGAAACAGTTATGACGAGTTACCCTCCCAGGCTTTGCTTCTCTATGCTCTAAACTATACTGACCTGGGATAAAATCACTTGTATTTCAACAGCTTAAAAACACCCCCTTTGCCCACTAAACACTGACACCAGCTTAACTCTAGAGGGCAGTGTCTGCTGGTACACGGTTCAATTATGTACAAAATGGCGTCTTCTCTTTTGAAAACAAAAGAAGGGATTTCAGACCCGACGAGGGTTTTTTATGGAACTCGGTAACGTCAGAACAACAAAACGCTGCTCTGAATTGTTCTGAGCGCCCGGCACTGAGACACTTTTCTGAGATGCTCCTGGCTAATTTAGTGCATTCCCCACATCCGCTCTTCTCTGGATTTCTGAATTCCGAAGCATGTTCTACAGACAGAACCCTAAGGAAATCACTGGGCCTCAGTCAAGGCATGCAACATGTGCTTTGTATTTCGCCACATTCAGGCAAAAATCCTGTGTCTCCGTATATGTCTGGGAATTCATAAGTGACTACGAATTCAGTGAGGTCTGGGTTTCCTGGTTCTACTGTTGTTCTGATTTTTACTGGCTGGCAGAGCAAATCACCTGAAACAAAGAGGTCAGTGCCGACCTGGATAATCCCCTGCAGAAATGGCCTCTTTTTCCTCCAGGTCACCTACCCACAGTGTGCTCACCGCGGCCTTCCCGTGCTATCCCCCCGCATCCGCCCTGCAGTCTTTGTGTGTGCTCAGTTGATGTGTTTATTTCAAGGCTTTCGGCACCTGTTTCCCAACTTTGCGCCATCTTAGTGGTCTACACACCAGTGGTTCTCCTTAATAATTCCAGGTTCAGCCACCCAGTCCCCCCGCATGTACATATCCTGATAGCCAATTTCTACCTCCTCTTTCCTCCCATGATGAACCCCATCGTGTACGGTGTGAAAACCAAACAGATTTGTGACCGGGTGCGTCTCCTGTTCCGAGGGAAAAGCTTCTAGGCTGACCAGGAGGGGGCTGCTGAGTGATCAGGAAGCAGAGGATGCAGGAGAGGTTTTCTGAGTCACGTAGACAGCATGTTAGTGGGGGCTTTGTGTACGTTGGGATGGGAACTCCACCTTCGACTCACAGGGAGAAATACACCGTCTCCTGTACGAGCTTAGCGGTGCTGGCCAGAAGGTG